CAGAAAATGTGATTGTATTAAGTTAATGTCCGATATTTACAGGCTCCCGCTAGACGGCGTACTCGAGCGTTGCGATCGCGAATCGATTTTATTTGATACCTCAAAGCAGACAATATTTATCGATGCACTTTTTACTCGAATTAGCAAGGTCTCGTACTTACATCTGAATACATATAGCAACCCTGACAATCACCCTCAAAAGTTTACTAAGCAAGAGAGGATAAAAAGGGCAAAACTTACACAATCTGTCTAAACAAAGTAAAATATCATCATCATTACTATTATTATTAATTTATTTTATTTAAAAGTTTCACTCTGAGTCTTATGACACCTAACCCAAATCGAAAAGTTTTTATGTATGAAAAGTATAGAGACTTAGACCTATAGAGTACTTAGTACATAGTACTTATTGGTACATAGAGTATCTACTTATAACTATTTGACATTCTGACATTACTATACAAAGAAATTATTTATAACTTTGATTTACCCTAAATCAAACTAGAACCATGAATCTAACTATGAAACTAAATCAAACTAGAAACCTAAACCAAACCCATGTCGATAGAACTGATAATTAAGAAGTAGTGAGGGTTTTATTGATAAATAAATACAATTTTTGACTTATTAACAGACATAATCATTATAGCGCCAAAGCTATTAGATCTATCAACGTAATCTTTATTTTTATTGGATAAAGCATAAGGAAGTAAAAAATAAATACTGCCTCACTTATGTATAGTTTTGTTAAAGTGTAAATAGGTATAATTAAATCTATACGTTTCAATGCATAAAAAATTTCTAAATATTCAACTATTGGCCTATCGATTTGAATTTTTCTTTATTCGATTCAGTGTAAAAAAAAATACATTGCAAATAACGTCTCACTAGTCTAAATAGAAATGTCAAAGTTTTCTACCCTTCAGAAAATTCAAAATGGCAACTAAAAACCTCCTCAGATGAAAGTGAATCTTCTGCTTTCTGCTTACTATTTCCACATTTAATTACTCAGGAATGGGTCTCAAAATTTAGGACCGTAATGTAAAAAAGTTGAATGAGCTAATTTAGATTTGTGAATTTCCTTTTCTTCTGCTATAATTTAGGCATCTTTTCCAACTAATTTTCACGCCTGTTCACACCTGGCAAGGCACACAAATAATGGCTATAAAACTTTCGCAAACTTCAGTTTTTCAATGAGATTACGCTAAATTTCAATTTGAGATTATGCTAAAAGTACACCACTGATACCTTGCATTTTTAGGCACTACTTGTAACTATGTATTGGTAGAAACATATATACATTTCTAGCTCACTGCTGGCACAAATAGATTTTTTTTGTTTAAAAATCTAAGAAAAATTCTATCGTCATTCTATTTTGTATGATTTTTGTACGAAGTATTTATGTTCTAACAGATAGTGGGGAAGTAGTGGAGGCAAAATAACTGTCAATGTCACTCTTCCTGCTAAAAGAATTTCCATACGTAGATAGTTGTGTCCTTCATAAAATATCAAAGACAGAAAACACCTAAAACGCTAATATTCAATTCTGATTAAGAAAGAAAAAAAAATTTTCTTCGAAAATCAAGAAAAAAACTATTTTCTATAAGGAACATTTTTTTTTAATGAAAATTTCAATAAAATCAAGAATGTCAACTATCCAACTCTTACCACTGGAGCAACTTTTCTTTGCTAATTCTATTTCTTCTACAATGGTACATTAAAGTTTAGAGAAAATTGAATTCAGTTAAACCCAGAAAAAACACTGGAGTTTCAAATGTCGGAGAAATGTTTTCAAAATATCAAAATATAAGTTAATCATTGTAGGAGAACATTCACATAGAGTAATCCAAAATAATCCTTTCATAATTTTTTAGCATTTTGATATTTGAAAAAAAAATTTCAGCTTTGAAATTTCATGCCTTACTCTAGGTTAACCTGAACTCTTTTTTCTCTTAAATTTAAATTTTAATTTAATTATATTGGTGAAAGAGAATTTGCCATCGTGAAGGGTTTCTCTTGTGGTACAACGTCCTTTTAAATAAATTGTCTAATCCATTATAGCCCGTGAAATACACCATAAGCTCCGACATTTTTTGAGACTATTAAAATTGAAAAACTGAAACAAGAGAATCTAGAGTTATTTCTGTTTCACATACCTCTGTTGTTTCTAGTTGCGGTTCTTAAGAATCAAGTTAGGAAAGTGCGATTTTCGTTTGATAAGAGAGAACCTAAAGAGTGAAAAAAGCATGCATGTACTCGGTGGACCTTGGCTGAATCAAGGATTGAAGTGCAGAATCTCCTGACCGGAGACCGATTCTCTAACAACTGTACTACCACGGCCCTTATATACCTCTCGGGAGTACATCACTACTTTTACATCAGTTTACGCTCTGATTTAAGATCAGCGATCCCATGAACTACGAAATAAACTACCTGCTGTAATATTTTTATGAAAATTGCTTTATATTCTAATTTTTCAGTATAAAAATCTCAAGGAAATTGCTCAAAAACCAAAATTCTAGTCTAATTGACAATCACTATATTATATTTCGTAATATAATTTCGAACATGAGACATATTAAACTGAAATAAGAAAGTATACATATTAGACAGGAGAAAAAACAAAATACTAACAAAGTCTGATAAATCCTCAGTATAAAATTTGTATTGCAGAATATCCCTCAAACGTTGTTTCAAAATTTACTTTGGGAGTAATAGCTTTAGCCATGTACACCAATCCTTGAAAATTGAAACATTAGTATTTAATACCTCTTTGTTAAGAAATTTTGAGTGCAGAGTAAGCTTGTGGAAAGTCATAAGGAAGTACGTCAGTTTCTCACTTCATTTTTAAATAGATTGAAAACCTTTTAGTTAGGAAACAATATGGAATTGAAAACTACTTTAAACATAGTTCTAAAAGAAGAAAACTTCGTGTAAAGTTTAAAAATTATTTGTGACAATTATAGTCACAAATAATTTTGCCATTATGGTGCAAAATTATTTGTGACTTCGAAAGTGCGAAAAATATTAAGAAAAGGAAAAATATCGTAGTACATTTCTATAGAACTGAGTAGAGAAGGAGAGGGAAAGGGGCAGGGTGAAGACATGGATTCGGTCGACCGTTGGATACAATAGTGAGGACACGAATAGGGCAAATTCAGACTGTCATAAGTGCCACATTTGTACCGTTGGATTCGCAAATTTATTCACTGCTTTTGGCAACGACATTAGTTACTCAATCGGTCGTTCTTTTTCTAAAGGTGGTTAGCAGTGTTGATTTGGTGTATATATTATTATTTATTAGTTATTCCTAATATTAAGAGAAATCATGGTATGTAAATGGTTTTAAAATCTTTAATATTTATTTATAGCTAAAATTCAGATTATTGTATCCCTAAATATTTGCATTCCAATGAGAAATGCATTGCTTTGTTGCTTGTTAATGCGCATAACACATGATTCTTCTGCTTTGTTAATGAATAATAAGTTTTACATTTATGTTTATTACTAATTTTTTTAAGATTTTATTAAATATAACTCAAGATAATCTTTATAATCGGCACGTATTTTCATATTTGTTATATTTTTGCGTATTATATAATCATTTTAATGACCGGTGTTACTTTCACGGAATTCCGTTTGGTTCGAATTTTCAAGCTTACATTAGGTTATTTTAAATATTTATTTACAACTTTTTATTTCAATAAAGTACATTTTCTTGGAAATATTTTCGTGAGTAACACAATGAACTTTAATCACTAACTTATTTTGTAGCATTCGTTCAGTTAAAATGAATTAAACATTTGCAAGAAATGGTAATTTCTGAATCAAGGTTATGATTGCTATTCTCAAACTCATATGGTAATTATTCGTATATAAAGGCTATGATTATTCTTACGCTGCAAACTTATAAGATTTTCTAAATTTTATAGGCATTTTAATGAGACTTAGTAAAATTTTATTTAAGTGATGCACAAGCAATTTATTAAGATTTGTTATTAAAGATTTATTCTTTGAACACAAAACATTCCCTGCATTCATTAGGAATGCTCTTTAAAGAACACTGTGTCATGAAAATGTGGATAAAATGTAGGGTTAATACAAGAAGCGAAAGAGAAACAGGAAGTAAAAAAAATTTCTCAGTTCAGAAATGTAACTTTAACATTGAAAATCGCATTCTACCTTGGTTATCTGTTATCGTCTTATCTTAAGGGTAAAAAGTGACTGTAAAAAAATAGTCTATAAAAAATGTTTCATTATTTATACTGCTTTATAATTAGAATAGAAAAAAAAGCAAAGCAAAAAAAAAAAAAGAAAGTTCTCAATTTTTGAAGGAAAAAATGACTAAATACTGGATTGAATATACATAAATAATGAGTTGTACATAACTGATTGTTCAGTATAAAGTAATCTAGTTCCTATTTTTCAAAATTATGCTTTTTTATGTCTTTCAGAACATAAATTATCAAATTTTAGAAACAAATATGTCCAAAAACTATTTCTAATAATGTGTTGTAAAAAATATCATTTTAAATTATTCTTTATTAAATCTATTAAAATTTTTCCCCAAAAGACTTTTTCCAAAAAGTACTTTGCGGAACATTTTTTCGCTAAATATGGGGCCAAATATTTGACAACTGGGCTGTATACCCAATATTCCCTAGCAGCAAAATAACTCGAACCCTTATTGGACTAATATTCAGGAATCTTGGCTCAATGAGTGTTCAAAGGGTTATTTTCTGATATTGGCTCTATATAGAATTGTTTGATTAACCCGCGTATTTTTACAGCTTCTTTGCAACAAGGTTTGTTGATTTAAATCAAATGATTTTTTTAATAAATATATTGATTTTAAAAGTTACAAAACAGTGTTTTAAATTATTGATACTTTTATTATTTTCTTTTATTTTTAAAATTTATTTTAAATAAATCGCTGCGTTAATTGATTTTAGTTAACGAAATTACTTTCTTTCTTGGTGTGTGTTAAATTCCAACACATTCGAAATTACATTTTTAAAAATCTTTTGATTCATGAGATTTAAAGTACAGATTATAGTTCACATTTAATGCTGTCTTAATGTAAACTTGCATAGCTGTGGAAAGTAATTACTAAACAAGAATTTTTTTTAACAAAAAAAATGCAAATAATATTAATTAAAATATCTACATTATATTTTATTGGGGGGAAATGTGTATTTCTAAAGCTTGAGGTTATATTAAAAAGAAATTACCCTAATATGCCAAAAATAGAAAAGGCTAACGAATTCAGATATTTTTTTCCTGATATAGTGTCATTCTTCCCTTGAAAAGTCTATTTTAGGCATTAGAGTTATTAACTGGTATTTTTTTTCTCATAATATGTTTACTGTGTCTTTGACATTATCAGATTTTCTATAAAGAAATTCTGTGAAAAAACATTCCAATGAGTACATAATTTTTTTAAAATTCTTTTTAGCTTATCTATTTTGATATAGGATTAAAAATTATTATTTTAATATCAAAGTATATAGATTAAATATTTATTTATTTTTTGATGGCTGACTATATTTATAAACACAATCTGTTACATTTATTTTGTCATATTAAAAATCAAGAGAAAAAAAAAATCATAATTTTAAATAAAAATTATGTTTTGCTAATTGAAAATTTGTTTTAATAGTTAAAGAGTCTACCCAAGCCAAATTTGCTACCGCTTAGCGGTACCTCCACAAATTCAACTTAAGGAATAACAGTAGTTTCACAAAATACTTTTTCTTAAAATTTTATTTTTTGTATCTCGTAAGAGGCGATAAATCCATATTTGTGTGTTGATTTTTTAATATTTTTAATTTTCACAAATTGTGTCTAAATTTTCGCAAAATAAGTACCTTTCAGAAAAACCTAGACAGGCCCCAGAAGTATTCATTAAATTCTCTGTTTCATTTAGTCTTCAAATTTCAGTTATCAGGGGCCTGTCTAGGTACTGCTGAACGGTAGGGGAGAGAGGGGTACATTTCAACATGGGGCACCTTTCAACAGTGTTTTCATCATAGAAAAAAAATGGGTGAGAATTTCTCACCCTTTCTCAAAAACAGGGTGAGATTTCAGAAAGTTAAGTGAGATTTCTAAAAACTGAAAAAATACAAATAGACTTGGAAAAAAAAAATTTTTTTTGTTATAATACATTTTTAACGTCTTCTATTTTTTAAAGCATTGAATATTTTTGCTGCATCATCATTGAAGATTTTGCCTTTACTAGGTATTTGTCCATCTTACATTAGCGCATAAAAAAATTTGAACGTCTTACATGAAAAACCATACCTACAGTAAACACGTGGTTGCAGAGAAATGTGTTCTGAAAGGGTTCCGTGGTTCGGAGGGGTTGTGTTCTGTTGTTCGAAAAAGTTCTGAACAATGCCTACTGGTAAATAGGGAAGCTGGATAACGGGGCAAGTGTTGAAAATAATGAAGATCCAGGAAGAAAAGTGAAACGGATTTTATTCTAAATGACATAATTCGAAGCCTTTTCCAAAATGCGAGAAATTCGCGAATTTTGAAATTGATTTATAGAATGCGCGAATTTCTCGCGGCAATCATTTTTTAATGCGAGAAAAGAAAAAAATATGCGAGATTCTCGCGTTCTCGCGCTGTAGTGAAAACACTGTTTCAACAACTAGAATTTCTGCTTTCTAATATTGCTTAATGATTCGCCAATATGCCAGACAATAAGCTTTAACTATGCATAACTGTTGACATTTAGTTTTAAGCACTTTCCTTTTACCACCGTTTTGTTATTCTGAATATGTTATAACATTCCAAAAGTAAAAAGACAGTTTTGATTTTAAAACTGTTTATCTACCAGTAATCTTTTAATAAGGTAAGTGATATTTATTCATCTGCTAGTTTATTTAATTCTGCTTCTAACTGTATTATTTATTAGTAAAAAGTCTTTTTCTAAAGTGGTTGATAATATGATGCTTTAAACGGAATGTCTGTACCAGGGGCAGATTTCAACAGAGCTTAGGAGGCACATTTCAACAGTGTTGAAAGGTGCCCCTGGCTTATAATTTTTTTGTTAAGTAATCTTGCTGAAGTCATTAGTCTGCAAAAAACCCATTAATACATTCAAAATACTAAACTTTATCTGTAAGACATTATTCTAAATTTTTTGAAAAACTTGTGAATGTGTTCAAGGAAGCATGTTTGTAAAAAAAAAATTTCAATTATATGAAATTTTTTTAAAAGCTTAAAATCAAGTTTCAGTTTGTTGCATTGTTGTTAAAAATAGAATTTATTTACAAAAAATTTATTAAAAGCGCCAATAAAATAATTATTTTAAAATTTTATAAAAATATTCAAAAATTTTTTATTTAGAATAAAAATAATTTAATTTTAAGAAAATTGAAAAGTTTACAATGTAACATTATATTTCATAAAATTCCCAATCCTGTTATTTTACCTTCTTACAATTTATAAAAATGTTGCGAACATATAAAAAAAGCACACTAAACCAGAAGTTAGTGAAGAAAACATTGAAAAAGCAATAGAAGCTGCCAGAAATGGTGCATGTTTAAGAGCAGCAGCAGACTTATTTGGAATAGACTTTTCAGCCTTATTTTATAAATTAAAAAAAAGAAAGTCAAATAATTGTTTGGTTGGTGAAACCAAACAATGTACAGCTAACACAAAATGCTACAGTTCTAAATACACAAGCCAACAAGTTTTTGATGTCCAGCAAGAAACCCTGCTTTGTGAATACATAATTACATGTTCAATTCTCAATTATAGTCTAACGTACAGACAAGTTTGAAAACTTTCCTATGATAACGCAAAGAGTTTCAACTCCAAAATTCCAAGTAGCTGGGACAAAAATAAAACGTCTGGAATTGACTGGGTTAAAGGTTTTATGAAGCGTCACCCACAGCTTACTTTAAGAAAACCGTAAAACACCAGATTTGCAAGAGCTCTAGCTTTTAATAAAGAAAACGTTCAAGAATTTTTCAACAATTATGAGAGAGCTCTTACTTCTGGTCATTTTACAGTGGATCAAATATATAACTTGGATGAAACTGGAGTTTTAACAGCTCCAAATGTTGTTGCCGAGCTAGGAGCTCGTCTGGTCGGGCAGGTAGTTTCTGGAGAGCGAGGAAGCATGATAATCAATGCTTTATTTTCCAGAAAAAGAGGATATTAGTAGTATAGAAAGAAATGACATTAAAATGAAACTGCCTCAACCAGGGTTGGCAAGATTTTGCCACAGGTGGAAAAAACCATGGTAAATACCGGTAAAAACCGTTCTGGCAAAAACAGGTTTTTGCCAAGCAAATTGGCAAAAAGTGGCAAAAACCTATATTTTCACACACATTTTTGATACAAAATTATTCCTAAAATTGAAATATATACTATAAATATAAATAATTACAAAAAAATTAACAAAATTATTATTCCATAATTAAATGATAATGTAATAATATATCATTTTAGTAGTTTAAAACATTATTGATTGGAAAATTTGTGATTATTCTTTTTTTTCCAGTGAAATGAACTTATTTTAAATTAATATAACTATAATTTAAAACATAAAATATCTATCAATATGTGTAGTTAATTATTGTACAAATAATAATTTTTTATAATAAATAATAATATTATGCAAATAATAATATTTATTTATTTGTAAAAAAACATTTATTTTAGGATTCTAAAATGAAAAGAAATCTTTTCTCACAAACTTTCAATCTTTTAAAAATTATTACCATTATATTAATTATTAATATGTTAAAAATAATTTTTTCTTGTAATGTATCAAAATTATTATTCCTTATGATTGATTTAAATTTGTTTCAAGTATTTTGTAATAATATTTAATCAGCAATTTAGATAATTTGGTTTTTGCCGGTTTTTACCAGTTTTTGCCGGTTTTTACCAGGTTTTTGCCACTGTCCTGGCAAAAACCCCTTTTTGCCGGCAAAAACTCCAACCCTGGCCTCAACCAAGTTTAAGCTGCGTAACGGGCTCGATCTGTATTTTTCATGACATTCTCCGTTAACTTTGATTTTGTTAAGGACAAAATAATGTAGAAAAAACCTAAATCAATCCAATATGTTCTTCCATTATTATTATTTTATGGATAAAGTTAATTTTCCAAAATGTATGATCTTGTTACGTTCTCATCAATTGTTGAAATGTGCCCCACCACTTGTTGAAAACTGCCCCCCAGGAGGGGTAGATTTCAACAAAATACATGGTTCACTAAATATGTTAAATTAGGTATTTTGTCTTTGGTTTAGACCTTTGGAAAAAATTGAGAGGTTACCTCAAATATCAATTTAGTAAATAAAAATTAGAACTTAGATTTAGAAAGCAATAAAACTTCGAAAATAATTCTTAAACAAAAACTGTTGAAAGGTGCCCCCCTCTCCTAGTAAATTTGACCTGGACAGACCCCAGGTTATGCATTTGTTTCAAAATGGTTGCTATGCATTCAAAGCTATGTACTATAATGAAAAATTATTTTAGTAAGTTAGAGCTTCTAAAATATTGTTTTAATATTAATTTAATTTTGATTAATAATTTATAAAGTTTTTTTAATCATAAATTATAAAGTTCTTTCAATGTATTTGAATAAAAAAAAATCTGATTTTTTAAAGTTAAAAAAAAAAAAAAAAACAAAAAAAAAAAAAAAANAAAAAAAAAAAAAAATCACCAACGCTGCTTTGCAACTAATATTGACCCTATATTGAGTTGTCAGATTTACCCGATATTTTATATTCATTATTCAGCCAATATAGGCCCTACTGTTTGTCTACGATGCGGGGTCCCTCTTTAACTGGTTTCGGAGAAAGAAAAGGAGACCTCTTCATCGAAACCACCCTCTCTAAAATGCCCTTTTCTTGTTTCCATAGCACCAGACTGCCGCAGACTTAGTGACGGTCAGAGACAAACAGTCTAGCTCTTGTATATAACTAAGACAGTATATTGATCGTATATAGGTCAATATTAAAAGTTTTAGACATCTCAATATTGGTCACTTGGTACATGTTCATATAGGACCAACTTTGCTGGGGCCAGTGTAAAACTGTTGCTAGGGTTCATTACATCCCTAATAAACTCTTCCCAATATCATCAGTAAAGTCCTAGGTACCTACAGAATTGTAGCTGGCTAGTCTTAGAAGTCGTATTTTTAAGCTCATATTAAGAAGTGTAAGTCCCAATTCTTCAGTTGTGTTCTTTGAACTTTAGTGTTGCAGTCAGATAAAATATATATATATAAAAAAGAAACATAATTTAAAAATATTATTTCATTTTTAGGATGTTTTTCTTATGGTTCGCCGAAAGAAAACTACCATTTTCCTGGATGCTAAAGAAAATACGACAGTGTATGAACTGAAGAAAATGGTTGAAGGTATTACCAAAGTCCCTCCTGAAAATCAAGAGTTATACAAAGATGATGAGGTATATTCCTTAATAGAAATTTTTCTTTTAATAAAATTCAAAAAGCAATTGTCTGCCTGTTTGCTTATGAAATAGGGTGACCCGGGGTAATTCACGATCACTCTGTTTCTGGGGTAAATAATGATCACCCAAGTTTTATTTTTAAAAAAATAATTTTTTTTTAAATTTGAGACATGGTCAAGACTGCTTGTACACTTTACTAAAGTATAACAACATTTACTTAATAATAGTTTTTTGTTTAATCTAACCAAATAAGTATCTTTTAAACTGCTTTCTGTATTCTCCATTTCAAAGATGGGCTTCAAAATGTGCACATTTCTGCAAAGATCCCCCTCCTTCTCTTAATAATAAAAATGAGTTACTTTCTTTTTCTTTGATATAAAAATAGTGTAAGCTTTTGTTTAATTGTTTCACATCTACTGTAAACCAGGGTTGGCAAGATTTTGCCGCAGATGGAAAAAACCATGGTAAATACCGGTAAAAACCGTCCTGGCAAAACAGGTTTTTGCCAAGCAAATTGGCAAAAAGTGGCAAAAACCTATATTTTCCAAGATGAGAGGACAAAAACACATTTTTGGTACAAAATTATTCCTAAAATTGAAATATGTACTATAAATATAAATAATTACAAAAAAATTAACAACATTATTATTCCATAATTAAATCATAATTTAATAATATATCATTTTAGTAGTTTAAAACATTATTGATTGGAAAATTTGCCATTATTCTCTTTTCCAGTGAAATGAACTTATTTTAAATTAATATAACTATAATTTCGAGCATAAAATATCTATCAAGATGTGTAGTTAATTATTGTACAAATAATAATTTTTATTTATTTGTAAAAGAACATTTATTTAAGGATTCTAAAATGAAAAGAGGTCAAAAACTTTCAATGTTTTAAAAATTATTGTCTTTATATTAATATGTTAAAAATAATTTTTTCATGTAATGTATCAAAATTATTATTCCTTATGATTGATTTAATTTTGTTTCAAGTATTTTGCAATAATATTTAATCAGCAATTTAGATAATTTAGTTTTTGCCGGATTTTACCAGGTTTTTGCCACTGTCCTGGCAAAAAACCCTTTTTGCCGGCAAAAACTCCAACCCTGCTGTAAACATTATTATTGTTTATAGGAAACTATATCAAAATGTTGCCCCCTACAGATGGGGTAATTGATCACTGGGGTAATTCCTGATCATTGTCATTTCTTATAAATGGTATAAAAAATAGCTAATAAACAACTAATTGTCTTTTCTTAAATAACAGTTCATATTTATTAAGTGGAACAACTATGAAATATATTTTAACTGTAATCATAATATTTGTTTTTAACTCTGTACAAGACAAATGTGTTCTGATTTGTACCATTTCTGGTTTGTCTTACCTTGCTTCTATATTAAATTTATGTGTGTAAATTTTTAGAATAATTGTTAAGTTTATAAATTAACTTAATCATAAGCCTAAAAAGGATACTATGCTTTTAGAAAGCAAAATCAATGAATTTCTTTTAATGATTGAAAATGAAAATTTCAGTGTGAGAGCTGCTGTCAGAGCTGTTGATATACTTAACTTAATTTTACACTCTCACTTAATAAAGTTAAAAAATCCAACAAAAGTTACCCATGTGGGAACTCTTTTTTTTATATTCCTGCAGAACATGAGCATGTGTTGGAAGCTTGCCTAAAATGTATGGCACAATGCAAAGATTTTTGGAATATTTAAAGTGTTAATCTTTATTCCTGCTTTTAAATAAATCGTTTTATTAGCTTCTTAAGCATATCTTTTTGGTTTATTTGTTTGATCTTGATGTCTTATTTGTTAATTATAATTATTTTTAAACATCCCCTTTAATATAAAAACTGGTGATCAGTAATTACCCTAGAAATGATCAGGAATTACCCCAAAAATGATCAAGAGAAAGGGTAATTCCTGATCATGAAAAATTTAAAATCTTTTAAATTCTAATTTGATTTTCAAACAAAAGAAGGTAGCATAGGACTCATCTCATAAACCCTCAAACTTCCAATTAATATTAAAATTCTATCTTGAATAGATTTTTCACAAAATAGATGTTTGCATTTTTTGATCAGGAATTACCCCAGGTCACCCTATAACTTTAGTTTAAAAGCTGAGTATTAGTCAACTGGTCAGTTCTGCATTATTGTCAGCTTGTTTAATGTTTTGATTTTTGAAAAATAAATAATCATTTGACATTAGTCTTTCCAAGCGACCTGATAGTTTTCAAATGCCAAGTTGATAATTTTTACCTGACTTCATTATTCTTCATTTAATAGTAATTCTTTTATAAATTTTAAAAAAAATTCTATTAAAAAATTGCAATAAAAAGATTTAACACCTTAAAAAATAATAAAATATAATTCATGAGTTTTGGAAACTTACGGAACATTCTTATTGAGTCTGCTGCATTTTATGCAGAACGACCAAGACAAATAATTGCTAAATGTTTATTATTAGAATTTATATTTCGATATCAAAAAACTTTTAGGTCAGAGAACCAGGGTTTGAAAAAACCCAACTCGACTGGGTTTTATTGAAAAAACCTGAGGAAAATTAAGTTTTATTTGAAAGAAACCGGGGGAAATCAGGTTTTTTCATTTAGTGCTCATAAACTTTAAGTTTTATGGTGTAAATATTTTTATTTATTAAAAAGAGTTGTATAAGCTTAAACATGGAAATAAATCCGAAAAGCTATTTTAATTTTATATGTATTTTATATTAAGTTTAAATAACGCATTATCACTAATACATATTTGAATCTTTATCGTTTAAGTACATAACGTTTCATAATTTTTAACCCAAACATTATAAAATATAAATGCAGTAATATAAAAGGAACAAGTTTGTTAATATTTTTGTTTTCACACGCATTTATTTACTATATTTATTAAACATATATATATTATCCAATATAAAATTATAATCAGTAAAAACTAAAATTTAATCTGACTTCTAACTTCAATAAAAAACTGAAATAAATATTTAATGGTCTTCCATGTTTTTATAAAAAGATTAATAGGAAGCAAAATCAAAATTATGTTTATAATTATAAAGAGTATCAGTCACTTCTCCATTTTTTTCAATATAATTAACAGTAGGAAAATGATTTCATTTTTAGATAAATAATTTTAAAATGTTCTCTTATAAAAAGTTTAAGTTAATTTTTTTAAAGCCAGAAAATAAAACTGTTTAAATTTTTAATGTATCACTTAGTTAAAAAAAAAATATTTCTTTTCAATTTTTTTAAACATACAAATTAATAATAATAATCTGTTTATTAGTATATAAAGCATGCAACTATATTTGAAAAATGTATCTTTTCAGACTATATTATTTAAATTTCTATTTCATTAAAATATTACCTTTTGAAAAAAACCGCTTAAAGTTTTCAATAGTATCTTCCATAAAATTATAGATTCGAGTTTCTTTTACTTTAAAAATATTAAAAACTTAATCATATAAATCCTGCAACTCTATTTGACAAATTCATGAAGTACAATGAATTATATAAAATTTGATGTGCAACAATAAGTTTTAAAGAAAGCATTTTTTTTTTATTTTTTAAGCTCACTTATCAGGTGGGTTTTTTCACGGTGGGCCCACCCAATAAAACCTAGGCCAGTTTTTTCAAGGTGGGTCCACTTGGCGAACTCTGCAGAGAACTGGCCCATTGTAAAATGATATTTTAGGCGTTGCATACGCATTAATTTTTCTGAGTGGTACCTTAAAAAATGACGAATGACTATTATAAGCTGAAATTTACTTTTTATTTCGTGAGTGTTTAAAGTTATATATATATATATAATTAATTTATTTTCATTGGTGTGCTGGTCAAAATTATTTTAAAGTAGATTTATAAATCTGAAAAATATTAGAGCAAGATATGAATTTTATAATACCTCTTTAAATAAAAATTTGAAGAAAAAAAATGATATTTTATAAAAAATACTTAGCTAGCAGTTATGGCATTTGCATTATAATTTACCGTATTCTAATGCTTATATGTGAATTATTATGACAATCTGACATAAGTTTCACACTAATTATTGTAGATCATGGATCCGAGTAAAATGTTAGGGGACTATGGCTTAAATTGTACCACCGCTAAAGCCCAAGCTCCAGCTCAAGTTGGTTTGGCTTATAAAGATAGTGGTAAGTATTTGTTTAGATTATCTTGTATGATTCTGTTCATATTATATTGAAAATACATTAAGATTTAATTTCAGTAGATTTACTGTTCCGAGCACTAAAATTGCTAAAAGCATTATAGAAGACTTTAGTCAAATAAAATATAACTTCCAGCAGGGCTCGAAAAAACTCAGAAATTTTACCCGTCCTCATTTGAAACTAACCCGTATCTTCTAAATAAATAAAAACATAATTTTCTCCTATTTATTACAAATATTTATATAAATTGCACAATGAATTAGTAGTTACTAGGATTACAAATAATATGATTACATTATACAGTTATAAGAGAAATACTGGGTTACTAATAGTAACTTACTATTTATTTTATGAAATAATTTAAATGACTTAAGTCAAGTTATCTGGAATGTCAATTTATCCGAGGGTACTGCGTTTTTTTAAATGAATCAAATATGACGTTTGCCAGTTCCACAAGCAAGCCAATGATTTACGGGGGTTTCTGCACAGAAATCTGAAAGGGGTTTTGCATTTAGGTAGATGTTCATAATTGCGTTTAACGCTTCTTGTTTAAGACCAGTATGTAATGTTTTTTTTTTTGTAAGTTCATTGCTGAAAAGTCCCTATTAACTGCTACAGTACTCCCAGACAGAGAAAACATCAATTCCACCATACGCAGTATGTTGCTGTATTTCTAGATTAGTGGGTCATTTTAGAAGTGAGGTGCTAGACTCTTGTAAGATAACAAAAATTGAAAATGTATCACCAACATTAACGGGAAAATGGCCGTCCGTGCGGACGTCGGATTCGAGAAATTCGTTGTTCGCTGGGAATTTTTGACCGCCGAGGACGGGAGCCCTGACTTCCAGGCTGCAAAGAACATTTTTCTCTGCAGAACAAAAAAGTTCAGTTGTGGTACAATTTCTTTTAGGGTAATTTAACTTAATTTCGCCTAAATCTGTAACTTTATTAAATACGCTTACTGTCTCCCTATTCTTTTGAGAAATTGAAAGCGTGTACAAAATGTAATAACTTTTGAACAGTTTAATTAAAGAAATGAAATATATTTTCATTTTTGTTTTGTAATTACTCTAATTTCCTGAAATGCACACAAGAGAAACAGTAGTAGTTGCTTATAGATCAGTAATTATTTTACAATTCCAAAAACTGTTAACATGTGTCATTCATCTGGTCATGTTAATAAATATTTTGTTACTCTTTTGTCACATTTATTATCGAAGAATGTTATATAAAAGGGACTCTGATTGTAAATTATTACCTATGTCGGTTTTGTATTTTTAAGAGTATTGAGCTTTTTAATTAATTATAAAAATCATGTTTACCATTGAATATTCTACATCTTAGTAAGGCAAGCATAAATTCTGATTCAGTAGTGTGTAGTACAAGATCTACTGCCTTTTTTTATCTACTTTTTCATAGAGAAAGACAATAAATTTAACGTTCTAGTGTCGACAGATAATTCTTCGTACACTTATGTCTATTTCTCAAATACGATAAAATTTCAGAAAAACTGGCAATTGCCGGGGAAAGCTAGATTCGGAAAAGTCAGGAAAACTTAGTTTTGTCCCAAAACCAGGAATTGTCTGGGGATTTGACACTCTGTGAAATTGCGAAATTTCACTATTCCATTTGCAATAACTTAATTTGCCATGTTAAGGTAGAGTAGAGAATTTTAGAAAAATCTTTTTTTTTTTCTTTTTTTTTTTTTTTTTCTGCACCGACCTTCATTGGGTGCATTCTCAATTGGTCTTTAAAATCCTTACTATTATTATTGATACAATATGGTAACATGATGAAATGAGTATGTTAATGTTTTCAAAATGTTGTGAGATTTTAACACTTTTTAAACATTCTCTATGGAATGATGATCTTGAATGTCATTTATTTTGAATAGTGCAATATAATGTTTTTTTTCCCCTCAATATAGTTTTTTTTTTTTTTTTTTTAGTGCAACTTCAATTGGTAGTTCAATTGCAATTGCTAGTTTTAATACTTAGCTGTGTTTCATTTGCATAAAACAGATTTTGGAATATGATATATAAGTATCATTCATTGCAGAAACCTTTATTCTACATTGATATAGTAAATACAAAAGTTCATTTTATAAATGGTTTGTTATATTTTTATCACAACAACACAAAATAAATGTCTTTGTAACATACAACTTGTGTAGCCTCGTTGCACAGCGTTGTTGTCACAGAATGTTACAAAGTTTTTATAGAAAGATTTTTTGTTTGGGAAGGGGGAAATTTTGATTTTCCTTTCAGCATAATTTTTGAAAAAATGTTTTTTTCTGCAAATTTTTTTTTCAGTGATGTCTTTCTTGCAAATAAAAATTGCCTTTTTTATTCTCATTTGGGATTTTAAAAAAAGTCCGTAATAACTGGCTTCAGCTAGAATTTCAAATTAATAATATAAAATAATAAAAAATTGAGAAAACGCAAAAGTTTAGAAGATAGTTCACTTTAAAAATGATCTTTCTTTCGTTTCCCCCCCCCCCCCC